ACTTTCCGATCAATTTAAGATAAAAGTGATTTGTAATATAATAGAAGACTGCAAAGTATACATTTCAACCATTAATGCACCCCCTCCCCCACACACACACTTATTTTGAAAATGAATTAAGCAATAGTGAAATAATAAAAAAAATACCTTCCACAGTGAGGTTAACAAATCAATTTGATGATTACAAAAACTTGTAGAGGCTTGAAACACAACATCTGAAAACTTTTGACAGATTCTAAAACTGCACCAACGAATTCTAAATTACATTAAAAAACATTTAAAGTCTGATGTTTTAATTTGAAATATTTCATCAAAACCAATAAAACAAAATGAAAAAAGCAAAATATTATTAAAAAATAAAAAATTACTTGAAATAAAAAACATTGGAACTTGTCATTAAGAATATCATTGAGATATTATTCATAAACATTAAATAACTGAATATTTTAAAAATTGCATTATTGAAATATGTCTGACCAGTGAGTGTATTGTATGTAATGGATTTCTTACATTTGTATGTAATATCAAATTCAACTTTTTTAAATATAATATTAAATTCATTTTAATATAATATCTAAGTAAAAAAACTTACTGTAATTTTTTCACCATTTCTTTTGTTGCATTATTGCATTTACTTTTGATAACAGAATCAAAAACACAATTGATCAACACTTTTGTTTTTCTAATTTCCTCAATGACACCAGGCGAGAAGCATTTAGAAGCAAGATGAGATAGAAAATGATTCATTAAATGAACATCTATATCCTTGAATGTTATAAAGAATAAAAGCTACATACATGCATACATACATACATATATATATCAACCTTCAGAATTAGGGTCAGCATTCACCAATGCGGACTTAATTGCTAACCTCAAAGTATTTGAGGTTGGCAAAAAATTGACGACCTTATTTCTATGCTTTATGGTAAGACCTTTGTATCAATTTTTTTTGATGACCTCTAAAAGATTTTTTAAGATTTAAAGATCTAAAAGATTTTAAAAGATTTTGACGACCTCTAAAAGACGACCTCTAAAAGATAAAAGAGGTATGCAATAATTTGCCAACCTCATTTTTTCTAATTCCGAGGAGTAATATTTAAATATATATATATATATATATATATATATATATATATATATATATATATATATATATATATATATATATATATATATATATATATATATATATATATATATACATATATATATATATATATATATATATATATATATATATATATATATATATATATATATATTTCATAACACAAAAACAATACATGTTTTTAACTAGTTTTTATGTCTTTCTTCACATGAAAATCAAAAATTATTCAATCAAATAATCTGATGAAAGTTTGTTTATAAAAAAAAAAAAAACATTTATATAAAACAGATAATCAATCACAAATAATCACAAGCAAGATACTATAAAAAAATTCTATGAAGAGCATGTATCAAAACAAACAGATTTTAAAGTTAAAAAAAAGTGACCTCTTTATTTTTTATGAAAGACCATATAATTGATAATTCTACTATTTAATAATTCATTTGTAACAATAATGACCTAAAGTCATTTATAATAATAATGGCCTAAAGTTTAAATAGACTAATAATAGTAAAGATCATTTTACAGAAAAATTGGCAAAGAAAAGAAAAAAATTTAATAATTGAACATGATATTTAATGAAATTCGAATTTTTTAGAATTTTTGATACAATTCATACTATATATAGAACTATTAATAATATGAATCAAAGTTGAACAAAAATTGAATGCTAAAATTAAATAATAAGTTTAAAATAGCAGTTTTAATAATTTCAAATTCTTATGAGCATAATGGAATATTATATTCTAAAAGAAAAAAGAACATTGAATAAACTAAGTTTTTTTTTAAAAGACAATTTATAAACTAATGGTTTTCTCAAGTTTGATATTATATATTTTATTATAATCTTGTAAGAAATAAGATGTGATAAGTGTATCACATCTTATAATAAGATTATGAAAAGATTAGTTTATCAATTATCTTGTACATACACACAGTTTATTATTTATAATTGGTATGTAGTAATGGCTGCGTTATTTTTTTAAATACAGAACTGTTTTATTCTTTAATTGCCTGTTCTTCATGAATGCATACATTATCAATGTTTGATATCTTCAAATTTCCAAGTTCTTTTTTTGATACTTGTTTTCCTTTAGAAGCACTTGGAGGTAATTAATTTATGCAAAGTGTACATCTTAATTTTGAAGCCTCTATCTTCCATATCCTAATCATAGTGCTTAAGTGTATTAAGAATATCATTACTTCTGACAATGAAAATATCAGAGGATTGTTGGCCATAAAGAGAAGACTGCAATGAAATTTTATAATATATTATTTGGAGTTATTGCTTCTAAAATTTGACTGTTGCATGATGTTTATAGTCACTACATATACAAGCTTGAACATCTAGGGCAATCGATTTTTCAAAAAATACACTTTAGAACAAACTACAGTCTAATCACTTTTAGATATAGTCGTTTAAAACAATTTTACATAGTTGTCCAAAATTTGAGAAAGCGTCAGAATCAAGTTCTTCAATTTATAAGATAATATAACCCATGTAATAATAAAATAACAACTTCCGCAGATATGCAAAAGCAAATGCCTTTAATCATTAGACCTAGGTGTAATTATAACTAACATAAAACAACATAAATTACTTAAATAAAAAATAAATTAACCAGTGAGATTTTTCTTCAAGGTCCGTTCTTTCTCATAAGAAATAAGTTATCACCAATATTATAATCTTGTAAGAAATAAGATGTGATAAGTGTATCACATCTTATAATAAGATTATGAAAAGATTAGTTTATCAATTATCTTGTAAGATGAATGATAAAATTTATAATAAAATTTATAATAAGATGTGATTAGTGTATCAGAGTTAGAAGTATTAGATTTAAATTTTTTTTGTAAAATATCAGTTTTTCAAGAAATCTTGCTCTAAATTTGTGAAGAGGCCTTAATTTTTTTTGTTAGATAAAGATTTTCATAAGTGGCAAGGCCATCAACGAAATGATTGGAGCAGACTTTAAAATATTTTGGTACAACAAAGTGTTTTTGTATGTTATGAACAGCATGAATCTATTTCTTTGTTTTTTCATCAACAAAAAATTTGTAGAAACATAACTTTCCATTTATATATAATGAAGTAGACTGATAGTTTTAAAAAAATATTTTGTAATAAGAAGATTATTTTAAGTTAAGTTGGTTCCAAAAGTCATTTTACTACCTAATGTCATATCATAAAAAATACATCATTGCAAAATATTACTTTCATTGTAAACTTAATTGCATAATTAGATTTATTTTAGTGTGGAAATGGAGCCGGAAGCTTCAATTTATCATAAGTCTAATATTAAACTTTATTTGATAAAGTAAATTTTAAGAAATTAACAAAAGAACTCTTGCAATTTTCATGCAACATAAGTTGTAAAATACTTGATAAAGTTATGTTCTGCCAAAAGATTTTTCAAAAAACTGAAACTTTTCAAACCCTATAGTTTTACATATGAAGTTTCGAATAAAGATATTTAAAGCAAATTTTAATTTTGAATTTGTTTAACATTTGTTAAAACTTTGCAAATTAACCTAAAAGTTCTAGCGATTTAAAAAAAATGTAAAATATTGATTAGGGGAGGTAAAAAAAATTTGAACTAATTATTTGCTGTGCAAAGAAACAAGTTTGGTATTATCCGGAAAATGATGGGGATTGAATCCAACTCTACTCCCATTCTGAAGCAAGTGCTCTACCATTACTACATTTAACAATAAAACAATAAACAGGAAAATGTTTCCTATTAACTTTATGCTATTGTAGAACTCTTATAAAATTGTTATTGTAAAAAAAGAAAAAAAAATCTTACTATTTCGGATTCTTGACCTAATTTAGCTTCTTTTAATTTTGGTTGAAGGATAAGCATCAAAGAAATACTTTTGAGTCTTTCTTCAAATATTTTAGTGTTCAAAGCAATGTGTATAGAGACTATATCACAGTTAGTGTTATTAATTATATCATTTAGTTTTATACCACAAGCATCAAAGTATTTATTTCTTGAAATAACTACAGAATTAGTAAAAGAAATCAAACCATATGCCAAGATCTAAATATTTTTTAAAGTTATTAAATAAAAAAAAAAAGTTGCATTTTACAAACATTAGGCCAATATTGTTTTTAAAATTATAAAGAAATATAAAAAAGTTACTTTGTAAGAGTGTAGGCCTTGCTCAGAACTTTGCAAATGATCAGGATACTTTATTCGTAGTATGTCAAACAAATAACTATCGACTTCCATAGTTGTTGACCCCATAATCAGACTTGCCATCGGTAATGATTCAATTGTGTCATATATATGTTTATATTCATGTGTTTCATGTGTTGCATCTTAATTTAAAACCAAATATATATATATATATATATATATATATATATATATATATATATATATATATATATATATATATATATATATATATATAATAACTTCTAATTATTAGCTAATTATTCTAAATATCAACTATTCAATTTAAAACACTGTATTTTGGTGTGAAAAAATAAAATAAAATAAAACAAATAAAGAAGTACTAATTTTATTAAACAACTATAAATCAATGTAAGACAACTGTGAACTCAATAAAAAAGTTTTCCATGTTTTGAATTTGAATTTTGTTTTTTAAACACTATTCTTAAGATTTAGTTATTGTAATTTTTTTATCATAATAATTTTTTTATCATAATAATTTTTTTATCATAATAATTCTTTTATCATAATATTTTTTTTATCATAATAATTTTTTTATCATAATAATTTTTTTATCATAATAATTTTTTTATCATAATAATTTTTTTATCATAATAATTTTTTTATCATAATAATTTTTTTATCATAATAATTTTTTTATCATAATAATTTTGTTATCATAATAATTTTTTTATCATAATATTACCTAGAGATACCAGGCAACCAAAATTACATAGAAAAAATAACTAAAAATTGTTCAAAACACTATAAAATTATACAAATTTAATTTCAGGGTTAGAAAATATCTCTTTTCATAACTATTTAGCGTTTTGTTCTTTTCACACAAATTTTTTTTATTGCTTTATTGTTTTTTCCACAAGTTTTTTTACAATTGTTTTATTCTTTGCTTTAACAATTGTTTTAGTTATTTTATTTACATTTAAAATTTTCAAACTTATAAAAGAACATATATACTCTTTTTAGTTCACATTTTTATGTAAAAAAATAAAAATTAATATACTTTATTATTAATCATAAAAAGAATTAACGATATGATATTTAAAAAAAAAATTACATTATATTCAAAATTAGTTCAAATTCGCTTACATGATTAAATTACAAATTCAAACTTAAATGTTTAACATTAAAATATTAAATATTAAAATATACAACATATAATAATATTAAAATATACTTGTATTAAAAGCAATTAATAAAGGTAATACAGATAACAACTAATACGAGTAATACAAAACGAAAACACTTGAAAAAAAAAACAACCTAAAACTACTTTCACGTAGCTTCTGCTATACTACTTTAATCCACCTCAGAAGTTTCAGAAACATTCAGAAGTGTACAAACATTCACCTCAGAAGTGTACAACCTCAGAGGTGTATACAAACATTCAGAGGTAAAAAAACATTCACCTCAGAAGTGTACAACCTCAGAAGTGTATGCAAACATTCAAAACAAACAACAGATACTAATGATTTGGAAAATAAGAATGATAATCCACCTCAGAAGTGTATACAAACATTCAAAACAAACAACAGATACTAATGATTTGGAAAATAAGAATGATAATTTAAAAATTGGCTACTGATATTTATACGACCAAATGGAAAAAAACCATTATGAATATCTGCTCAAAAAGGTTAATTTGAGACTTGAATGCTACACTGTGCAAAATTTGATTTTGAAAAGATCATTGACAAAACTTGATAATTAAAACAACAACGACAACAACGAAAACAACAACAAATAAAGAATAAAAAAGTATATATATTCCAACTTGTATTGTAACCTTTATTATTGATTTTATTATATGACATTGTACTACTTACACTAACATTTATCATCTAGTTAAAGAATAAAACTTATAGATATAGTGGGAAAAATAATTTAGAACTTTGTCTGTCTAGAGTCAAACAATTATTTAGTTCTCTGACATAATGAACAGTTGTTTTGTTAAAAAACTAAATTAAAAAAAAAAAAAATAAAACCTTCAAGTTGCCCTATTTAAAAACTTTACATATGTACATATAAACATCAACATTAAAAATATATGTACGCAATCTATAAAATTGTATACCTGGTTGTAAACAATTTTGTAATGCATCATCAATTTCTTTAAAAATTCTATCTGAAAATGGAAACTTGCAACTAAAATATGGATCCAATAACTTATTGGGTGCATTGTTAGAGATAACAGTAAACTTAGAAAATAATTCCAGCCAGAGCTTTGTATATTCTGGTTCATTGTGAAGAATTTCAAGATTACGAAATCTGTCAATACTAGAAACAATGGACGTGAGAACAGGCACAATACGATCTTCCATATAACAGAATAATGCATGTCTAAATGTTCCATATGATGGTTGATACTTTTGTTCTATTGCTTCATTTTGAATCCAATTTGTAACATAATCAGGATGCCATTTGCTTTCTTCTGCAGCTAAGCCAGCTTCTAACAGCCGCAATACAGTTGTTATAAACATATATCGAATATCTGAAAAAACGCATTAAACATTTCAAATAAGATTACTGTTAATTGTGATACTCCATGACAGATGACCACTTGACTAATTTATGAAATAGATTTTTATAATCCTATGAAATAGATTTGACTAATTTATGAAATAGATTTGACTAATTTATGAAATAGATTTGACTAATTTATGAAATAGATTTAAACTGTGTTTAAATTTACTATTTAAGATATTTATACAAAGAAGGCAAGATAAACTATTATTTAGTATTGTTTGCTATAAAATATTTATAAAAAAATAAAGTTAAATTTAAATTTTTATAATCCTAAAATTTATTTTGTAAATTTACTTTTGAAAGTAAATTTACAAAATCTAAACATTTAAATATTTAAATAACACATCATTAAATAAAAAAATAATAAAACATTAAATAACACATTCTTTTTTAAATCAATGCATAAAATTAAATTACAGTTAATTCCAACTCGCTTTTCCATTATTTATAAAATTACAATTAGGCACTTTTTTTTTTTTAAAACATCTTCACTTCCAGCAAGGCTGCAACAAACCACTATTATAAAAGTTGGAATTTACTGGATAACGATTAACAGATGATTTAAAATATTGCAAATTATACAAATCAGGAAAAGAAGATGAATGGAGCCAATTCCAAAGAACTGATGTTTGAAAAAAAAAAACTTGACAAATAAGAATTTTTGGAGTACATAGGAACAGTCACAGTAAAAGGATGAGACTTAAGTAGATTTAACTTAGTAGATGGCACTAGAGATGCTAGCTCTTTAGAGCAGCACCCATTATTACCCACATTATAGGAATTATAGAAAAGAAAGAGTGAAGCAACATTACAATGATGTGACAATAATATTCTTAAATGATTATAATAATCTTATATTATATGATTATAATCTTTATTATAATCTTATAACTTAAAACTTGGCAAAGAATGACTTTACTGATATATTATCACTATTGCAACCATCTGTCTAAGGATTAAGCTTGCAGATAAGATCAAAATGATCAATATGATAATGCAACGTAAGGTAGTTGATTTACCGGTAAATACATACAAGTTATCCTTTAACAATTTTACCAAGCTCAACACTAGTTAAGACTAAATATAAAGTTTTTATATAACAAGTATTTTGATTTTAAAATTAATTAAAAATCACCTTTATTTAATAATAAAACAGGATATGAATAAAATTTAAACCAGTTTATAATAGTAATTTGAAATTTAAATATTTAAAGAAAAATTTAAACTTTTCAAAGATAATTTTATTTTATAAAACATAGTTTTGATAATATACAATATTTTTGTAACTAATGAAATTTTAATTAAAAAATAAATCTAATTACCATCAGGTTTACTTGTTAAAAGATTTGTTATAATATCAATTCGTTGTGATATTTCTTCAATTGTCATTTGCTTCATTTCACTTAGGCGTCGAATAGTCATTTGTACGCATCCTAGTATTAGTTGAACCATTTTTGGTTTTAGATCATCAAGGCTAATTATTTCTTTTAAAGATTTTCCATAATATTTTATAAGATAAGGCAAGTTTGAGCTGCGTAACTCATCAATATGGCAGCATTCCCAAAATGACAATGAGCTCAATAAGTCTAGGCGTTTAGCTTTATAGTTCAACTGCAGGATAAATAAAACAGATATTTTCTTTAATCTAAACTGTTTTTGTGACTCTTTACAAATGTATTGTGCACATGCAATTAATTTGCTCCTCTCCTGAGCATTATTTGCTTGAATAATAAGAAGCTGTTTCTTATTACTTTCAGCATTGCACACAACTCTAAAAATATAATCAAACACAATTTACAGGATGCTAGAAAAATTTAGATATACATGTGATCTAAAGAAATTCATTCTACAATAAATATGGGACAAAATTTTGTCATTTATTATCTATTATTATGATCATTTATTATCTATTATTTAATTAATGCATGTATAAGTACTAAAATAAAAACATCAAAAAAGTGATTCTGATTGGCTGAAAAAAAAACTTAGAAAAATTTCTAATGCTTTTAGTTCAATTAAACAAATATGCCAATAAATAGTAATTAAAAATTAAACAATTTGTTTAGTAGATTTTTATTTTTCTTAAAATTCATTTAATGTTTTTAAAATCAAACACACTCAGTATTTAATTAAAATAGCATAGTGTTTTAAATAAAATATCACATTAATACTTAGATGGTAGTTAAACACCAAAGCATTAGAGTTAATTAAGCATAAACAGTTATTTAACAATCATGTTGAAAAACTACTGTCATTGTTGTAAAAAAAAGCAACTATTTTTTGATAAAAAATTTATCAAAAAATCCTAACTTATATTGTTATTACAAAAAAAAAAAAAAAAAAACAATGACAAAAAATTCATAAAACTATAACGTTAAAGGTATTATTTTTATATATTATTGTTATTATTTTTATACTTTTATTTGAATAACAATTAAAGTACATAATTTACCTCAGACAATCTCTGAATGATTTTTCTGTTTGAAACTGCATAAGAGAAATCATCTCAATTTTGAAATCATTTAATTCAATGTTTAAATTCTCTTTGTCAGTTGGAGATAAAAGTCGTGAAAATGTTGTAACCTGTAAAAGTTATTAGAAAATAAAATAACAAAAAATAAAATATTAATATATAATGAATAAATATATAATATTAAATATATAACAAATATCAAATTTATTTATTTATATAAACTATTTATTTAAAACAATAAATACAACAATTAAAAAATTTAGAGATACAAGCAAAAATAAAAAGCAAAAATAAAAAAATATTTAATTTACTAAAATTATAGTTAAAAAAAATGAAAATAAATTATTACAATTTTTAGACAATTTTAGGATTTATTATGTTGACTTTGTTCAATAAAATATAGAAAATCTGTAGTTTAAAAGAAATAAGACGTGACAAAAAAAACCTGCATAAACTTGCTATCTATATGATCAAGTTCATTGATAAGATAAGCTGCCAGAGAATGATGAAACTGTTCATTAAAGTAAATATTCCAATAATATTCAAAATGGTCTCTCAAACTTGTTTTCACAACACGCAATAAAGAATCAGGAGTAGCTAATTTTAATAAAACCTGACAACTTTCTTCGAAAATCTAAAGAATGAATCATATCAATAAAATAAAAATTTTTAGTAAAAGGGACTTTTAATGTTTCTAAATTTAATTTAACTAAATGTAAATCCTTTAAAATTAACCTTATCATGATCAACCTCACCATCTTTATCATGTTCAACCTCACTATTCCCAACATACTTTTGATAAAGTTTTATTACAATTGAAGCGCAACTATCTTCACTGTATCCAATAAATGAATCTGATGGTTTGAACTCATGTCTAAAAAATACTCTTTGTACAGATTGGAACTGTTTTTACTTTGTAATTGTTGTTAATATATTATACTATACTACACTATGCTATCTCTCTCTCTCTCTCTCTCTCTCTCTCTCTCTCTCTCTCTCTCTCTCTCTCTCTCTCTCTCTATATATATATATATATATATATATATATATATATATATATATATATATATATATATATATATATATATATATATATATATATATATATATAAATAAATAAAAGGTTAGATGAGAAAAAACAACTTTTTTACGGTACTTAAAGTTTTATGCCGTTTTCGGCACTCATCAGCCATATATTTAAATCAAGAAAAAACCGTTCAAAAATACAATTAAAAAACCGTTACAAAATTCAAAAAAAAACAATGGAACGAGTTCTGACGTCAAATAATTATAATACAAATAATAGCAAAAATAATAATGATTATAATAATAATAGTATAATAATAACAATAATAATAATAATAATAATAATAATAATAATAATAATAGCAATAATATTAACAATAATAATAATATTATGGAAAAAACATATTTTCTAATCGCCAGTGTCAAATTGAGAAAGGAGGAATCTGTTTCTATGTCTGCACTTAGAAACAATCTCACTCCTTTTATTTAGTAGATTGGTATTTTTATAATTTAGGATTTCATATTTTTCGGTGAGACATAATTTACAAGATTTGGATGTAGGATTATATGCTTTAAATTGGCTTCTTTTATTTTCCATACCTGCTTTGACAGCTCAGTATCATTTTTGTATTTTGGGATGTTAAAAGATTTAACGTGGTTAGCGTATCTCAATTTAAAAGAAGTCTCACTTACACCGATGTAGGATTTTTCGTTAGGAGATGAATCACTAGTGGTGGTTACAGTTGCTTGGTATACAATGCTGCTTGTTAAACATCTATTGGACAACGGGCAGAAATTTTTATCTAAGCAGTTACAGTTTTCTTGATTAGAGTTTGCATCGTTGTATAAAATGTACTTGTTGTGCGAATTTATGATCGATTTCACACTTGGCATACAACTGTAGCTAACTTTGACTGTGTTCCTGTTAAAGATTTTATGTAGTTTGTTATTATTAGGAAAATGTTTGCCAATTAATTTCAAAAAACATTTTCCTACGTTGGTACTACGTTGGTGCTACGTTGGTTGGTTTATACCGTGATGATGGATTAGCAGTTTTTAGGAATAAAAGCGGCCCTCAAATGGAAAAAATAAAAAAGCATCTTTCCGAAATATTTAAATACAATGGCTTACGGATTTCTATACAATGCAACATGAAAATTGTCAACTACCTCGACGTCACTCTAAATCTTAGTGAGTGCACCTTTAAACCTTATCTCAAACCTGATAATACATTAAATTATATCCATGCTGATTCAAATCACCCTCCAAGTATACTAAAACAAATACCACACTCGGTTGAACTTAGATTATCTACAAATTCTTCTACCAAAGAAATATTTCAACAGGCTGTTCCTCTATATAATGAGGCTTTATTAAAGTCTGGTTTTAAATGTAATCTAACATATAATCCTAAAGCAATATCAACTAAAAAACGGAACAGAGCACGCAACATCATTTGGTTTAATCCTCCATTTAGCAAAAATGTTAGCACCAACGTAGGAAAATGTTTTTTGAAATTAATTGGCAAACATTTTCCTAATAATAACAAACTACATAAAATCTTTAACAGGAACACAGTCAAAGTTAGCTACAGTTGTATGCCAAGTGTGAAATCGATCATAAATTCGCACAACAAGTACATTTTATACAACGATGCAAACTCTAATCAAGAAAACTGTAACTGCTTAGATAAAAATTTCTGCCCGTTGTCCAATAGATGTTTAACAAGCAGCATTGTATACCAAGCAACTGTAACCACCACTAGTGATTCATCTCCTAACGAAAAATCCTACATCGGTGTAAGTGAGACTTCTTTTAAATTGAGATACGCTAACCACGTTAAATCTTTTAACATCCCAAAATACAAAAATGATACTGAGCTGTCAAAGCAGGTATGGAAAATAAAAGAAGCCAATTTAAAGCATATAATCCTACATCCAAATCTTGTAAATTATGTCTCACCGAAAAATATGAAATCCTAAATTATAAAAATACCAATCTACTAAATAAAAGGAGTGAGATTGTTTCTAAGTGCAGACATAGAAACAGATTCCTCCTTTCTCAATTTGACACTGGCGATTAGAAAATATGTTTTTTCCATAATATTATTATTATTGTTAATATTATTGCTATTATTATTATTATTATTATTATTATTGTTATT